TTTTTCCACATTTTGCACCTGTTAAGCGTGATTAGCTGAGTACGTCAACACTACTTCTCCCTCCATCACCCCATGCTAAGCAGAAGATTGCTTAACAAACAAATCCACCTGATGTCCAAGTAGTTTAAGCTCTGACCTGCGTGTCTGCTTCAGCGTATATTCTGACTACGTCTTCTGTTCCTGAGGGGCGGACAAACGCTCGAGACGATTTGTACTTCTGCACAAGCACATCAATTTTCTCCTGGAGCCCCGAAGGTGTAACCGCACGCCTCTCTGCATCCGTTGTGTCAATGACTCTCCTGTCTGCAACCTGCAGCATCAGAAACAGCCCATTTGTGTGTGCTGGAGCTGTACGATGACAGCAGGATGGAAAAGGTCACAGGTAAGGCAGAACTGCAGGGTTTGATGTGTTGCACTTCCTGAAGAAGCATTCAATTTGGGAGTTCCCTGCTTACTCACACACTTTGGGCTCCCAAGGATCCCTGCTCAGCTACCACTGAGTATGAACTCAGTCCTGACAGGCCTTGGCTGCTTGGTTTGGAAAAGGGTCACTTCTGAACACGTCTCCTTGGTCAGCCTCTGAACTGAAGCAGCAGCTTCTCCTGCTGCTCAGAAAGCTTAAACTCCCTCCTCTGGTTAATTTACAGCCCAGAGCTCCTTACTGTGTCCAACAGAGCACTACCACATGGGAGCCATGTGTTCTGCTCAAGCTCTTTGAGTGTTGGAGAAGATAGAGAAGTAAGAGGTCGAATATTCAAGTTATACAAAGTGGCACAGCAAGAAAAATCCAGCAGGCAGGGGCCTTAGAAAAATAAGTTGTTTTTTTCTAATCTGAAAGTTAAGACAGAAACTCTAAGTTAAAATCTGAACAGTTTTGGTCAGGTTTTTCCATTAAACTTAGTTGGCTATTATTTAATCATCTGTGTAAGTCATAGTTTTATTCTAGTCCAAGTGAAATTCTGGTCCCTCCTCTGGGTTGTGTCATGTCTTCTTTGACTTCTGCCCTTTAATGGGCTGTTTCAGCTTTAAAACTAAAGGGTATCTGAATGTCTGCGAGGCAAGAGCTGTTTATACCAGGGGCCCAAGAGGCTGCTGCAGCCAGAGCCAACGTGGTGCGTAACTCACCTGAACTTTGAGCAGCCGATTGGGAAGGTCGGTGTAGACGGTGTCCCACTGCTGCACAGTCAGGCCCTTCAAAGCCAGGATCGCTTCAATGACCAGCATGTCCGAGATGGCATCGCCAACCGTCTGTTAACAGCAAGGGAAGAAACACGGGACAGTCAACAGTGGAGAACCACAGGCGTGATTTGATCAGTGAGCTTCCAGCTGAACAGAGTGAAAATGCCTCAGTCGGGGGAGCTGAGGGAGGTCAGGTGTTGGTTGGTTTGGGGTGGAGTGGTGTTTTGATTTTTTTTCCCCCCTACCACACTGACCCTGAGATAAGGAGAGGAGCAGCACACTTGTACAGCTCTGCCAAGTCCTGTCCTCACCTTTCCTAAGGAGGACCAGCACCTCACCTTTGTTCTGGGGTCAGGGTGCCTAAAGCTGGCCTGTGAAGTATGGCACCACCCCAGATGAATGACAGCTGTGACTGACAGTCCCAGGACTGTGTGGACATGGGCACTGGAACACCCCATGCTCCCATAACACGTAAGTTAGTGAAAACCATCAGCTGAAGGACTACTTGCTGTTGAATCATGACCAAATCCCATCCTATCACTGGGTTCCCATGCAATCCTGCTCCCTTTTTGGGTCCTGAAGCGTGTACCACATAAAAGTATTCTGCATCTGCTTGTGAGAAGTAATTCATCTTTCTAAAGATGACTGTTCCTGCCCCTATTTTCTTGGCCCTTTCTATTGTGGCACCCTACTTCCTGCTCCAGCAGCCCCTTGCAGAAGCCTGGCAGGTCCTCACGAGCAGGGTTAGCCCCGTAACTATCACTTAAAGCAGTTTTTACCTGATTAATCAGATCAATCATGTTCTCAAGCACCTTTGCAGCTTCTCTTTTTTCATCATCCTTCTCCTCTTTTGCCAGTTGTCTTATTTTCGTTTCAGCAGCTTTACTAAATAATACCTAGAATAAAAAGATAAAGATAAACTAGGATACATGCACCAAGGAGGGAAAAACATTTTACCATTAAACCCAAATAACCATCATTAGTATTTGCTACCATGAATTCCCATCCCCACATAAACCACAGAGGCGTTGGTGGCAGTGTTATGATAAAGACAGAAGGGAGAACAAGTCTGTTCTCAAACAAGGAGAGAAAAGTCTTGTTTAGTCCAACTAAACTTTTCTACATATTGGTTGATGTTATGCATTCCATGCTCATACTTACTGTACCATGTCCGTTTGCCTCAAAATAAACACCAACATCAAACTCCTGGGCCTTGTGATGCAAGTGCTTCACTCCTGTTTTGACACAGTGCACGGGTACCTGCAGCCCAAGGACACACAGAGAATGTAAAGGGGGTCACAGGTTCCTCAGCAGGCGACGTGCAGGAACTGGGCACCAACGGGGGGATGTTACAAACCAACCCGTGCTTCACAGCTACGGACTCCCCAGGGCTAAAATTACCCACTATTTCTGCAGACCCCATTGAAAATATTTCAGGTATTAGTGGAAATAAAGACTGATTTTATTTATTTTAAATAGTTAATAAACAAAACCCAAACCAAGAAAAACCCGATTAATGTTTTGGCTCCAGGGAACATACCAGATTTCTATCCAAACTGAAACAATACCTTAGCTAAAATTTTGCAGTTAACAACATTTAGCCTGTTGCAGAAAATGAAACAAGCAGTGTCAAAGGAGCCTTTATCGACTCAATCGCAAAGCCATGAAGTCCTCAACTTGTTCCAGAGGTAACAAGGGATTTTGTTCAGCTTTTGCCAAACTTTTTTTTAAAGTAGTAAAAGCCGATGAAAACTTTTGCAGCTTTGCTCTCTTGTGTCTCCTTTACCACCAAGAGTAAACAATTTTGCAGTAAACGACATTTGCAGAGAATACCTTCAGTGTTTCCTCAAGGTAGCGCGTGGAACTCCCGTTGGCGTACGCTGTTTGTACCACTGCCATCTCCAAGGTCTGTCCCACCTGCGCAAACCAAGAAGCAAAGTGTTTTACTGTCCAACAGACACACAGCCAGACCAGCAGGATAAATGGAAAGATAATCAGAATTATTAAACATACGTTCTCCTACAGCCCCTTAAAACTCCAGGGCATCAGAGGAAGGCACCAGCTGGCAGAGAACTTCTGTATGTTTAAGACTACACAAATTCTGTTCAGGTCGTTGCATGTCACATTTTTTGGGCCTCACTTGAAGCAGCTCTCCAGGTCCAGGCTTTCCAATCCCCTGTTTCAGATTCAGCAAGCTCAGTGGCTGGCCAGACACATGGCACTACAGGAAGCCACACGAAGATGACACAAGCAGGAAAGTCAACGCTTCCAGTGTGAAGCAAGCAAGGCTGGTAGCAAGCACAAGTTCTCCTCGCTGGCCCACGTAGGAAATGAACTGGTCTCCAAGAAAATAAACCCAGGATACCTTGTCTAGGTGTAGTGCCACAGACACCAAGTCTAAAAGGACTTCTGAAAAAGAAAACCTTTTCCTCTTTATTCCCTGTGGGGAGAGGATGCTACATGGCAGACAGTGCTTTTGGAATGGTGACACACAAACCCCTTGAATGCTGGATATATTTTTTTATTTACACCCTTGTAAAAACAACATTTTGGCCACACCAATAAGGTACAGAACTGGGCTCCTTTTAGGTGGATGTAGAGGGACCACGTAAGTACAAACTTACACAGCCTCCTTCGACTGTTATACACTTCACCAGTTAAAGTGTCAGCATTCATTTCATATGTGAGAGTTACCTTGGCAAGAAGTTCTTTAAGGAAGATACTAATTAGGGTTGCTATTTTATCTCCATCGATCAGGTGGAACTGGCCGGTTGTGTCCTTATAGTAATAAACAATTCTATCTCCATCACCATCAAACGAGCAGCACCTCTCGTTGGGCTCCATGTCCAGCCCTAATGCACACAGTTACAAACACAAGTTAGAGACAGAAATAGATACAAAACGTTGAAATTAGTCCCAGTGTGGATCTCATGTGGAAATTAGCTCTGTGTGCACACATACAACACTAATGCTCTGGAACAGACATTGCTTTTACTAAGAGAGTGGCAACAAGGAAGCTGTTCTAAGCATTTATTATGCGACACTTTCTCCCCAGATATGTATGAAAATCAGTCCCAGAACTATCACGTGTAGTCACATCTCTAAATTTTGGAAACAAGTGCCAAATGTCAGGTATGGCACAGGGTTAAAAACCTTGCAGCAGCAGAATGCCCACCCCTTTTCTCAGGCACTGAGTCACCCCAGAGCACACAGAGCCGCACACATCACCCACAGACCGAGGTGAAGCGCTGCCCCCTGCTGCACAGCAGAGCAAGACAGCGTTTGCAGAGCGACAGCCCTACTAAGTACTTCACCCTCCAAGACGCACGGGAATTAACTCTTTTTCCCTTGAATCAAAATTGCTTTTCTTCACGAAATATTTCAGGCCTGTTTAATATTATTCCATTCCCACTTGACAGAGCTGCACGTCCTGTTCGCCTTCTTTCTCACAGAAGACACATTTTCCTGATGCAAGACAAGTGTGCATGTCCACGCCACCCAGGCCAGCACTGAAGTGCAATTACAACAGGAGGTGGCACATCTTAAAGGTCTCTTCCAACCTAAATGAATCAACGATTTTATAAATCCTGGCATCCAAAAACCAGCCCCACTCCAAAGCCACCATCACCAGGATTTCTCAGAGCTGTACATACAAGTTTTGCTGGCTATAAAACACCTCACATTTACTTTGCTTGATATTTAATTTATACAACCAAGTATACAATGCATGAGGAGTACCTGATTCAAAAACCTTTCCAGGCTTAATGCCAGTAGAGAAATAGCTGGAAAGCAGTCACCACCTGACAGAGCAATGCCACTCAAA